AAAAAATACGAAAATGCCATCCGAAAATAAATTGGCCCAAATCGGTGCTTAATGGACTTATCATCCGTGGAGAATAGGATAAATAGGCTTCATTATCGGTGGAGAGTAGGCTCGGCCTGATTTCGTGATCTGCAGCATCCATATCCGAAAGAAAAAGTCATTTCGGAAAAATCGCCCGAAATCTGTGATGGTACCCCTTTGGAATCTGCCCAAAATGGACCCGGGATAAATTCGCCCAAATCGGCGCTTAATGGACTTAATCATCGTTGAAGAATAGCCTCAGGGCGAATCCGTGATCTGTAGCCTTCAAAATCCAAAGAAAATATCCTTTCGTCGCCCAAAAAATACGAAAAAGCCATCCGAAAATAAATTGACCCAAATCGGTGCTTAATGGACTTATCATCTGTGCAGAATAGGATCAATAGGCTTCATTATCGGTGGAGAATAGGCTCGGCCTGATTCCGTGATCTGCAGCATCCATAACCGAAAGAAAAAGGCATTTCGGAAAAATCGCCCGAAATCTGTGATGGTACCCCTTTGGAATCTGCCAAAATGGACCCGGAATAAATTCGCCCAAATCGGCGCTTAATGGACTTAATCATCGTTGAAGAATAGCCTCAGGGCGAATCCGTGATCTGTAGCCTTCAAAATCCAAAGAAAATATCCTTTCGTCGCCCAAAAAATACGAAAAAGCCATCCGAAAATAAATTGGCCGAAATCGGTGCTTAATGGACTTATCATCCGTGCAGAATAGGATCAATAGGCTTCATTATCGGTGGAGAATAGGCTCAGCCTGATTTCGTGATCTGCAGCATCCATAATCGAAAGAAAATTGCATTTCGGAAAAATCGCCCGAAATCTGTGATGTTACCCCTTTGGAATCTACCCAATATGGACCGGGAATAAATTCGCCCAAATTGGCGCTTATTGGACTTAATCATCGTTGAAGAATAGCCTCAGGTCTCATCCGTGATCAATAGCCTTCAAAATCCAAAGAAAATGGCCTTTCGTCGACCAAAAAATACGAAAATGCCATCCGAAAATAAATTGGCCCAAATCGGTGCTTAATGGACTTATCATCCATGGAGAAAAGGATCAATAGGCTTCATTATCGGTGGAGAATAGGCTCGGCATGATTCCGTGATCTGCAGCATCCATAAACGAAAGAAAAAGGCATTTTGGAAAAATCGCATGAAATCTGTGATGGTACCCCTTTGGAATCTGCCCATAATGGACCCGGAATAAATTCGCCCAAATCGGCGCTTAATAGACTTAATCATCGTTGAAGAATAGCCTCAGGTCTAATCCGTGGTGAATAGCCTTCATAATTCAAAGAAAATGCCTTTCGTCGCCCAAAAAATACGAAAATGCCATCCGAAATAAATAGGCCCAAATCAGTGCTTAATGGACTTATCATCCGTGGAGAATAGGATCAATAGGCTTCATTATCGGTGGAGAATAGGCTCGGCATGATTCCGTGATCTGCAGCATCCATAAACGAAAGAAAATTGCATTCCGGAAAAATCGCCCGAAATCTGTGATGGTACCACTTTGGAATCTGCCCATAACGCTTAATAGACTTAATCATCGTTGAAGAATAGCCTCAGGTCTAATCCGTGATCAATAGCCTTCAAAATCCAAAGAAAATGGCCTTTCGTCGCCCAAAAAATACGAAAATGCCATCCGAAAATAAATTGGCCCAAATCGGTGCTTAATGGACTTATCATCAATGGAGAATAGGATCAATAGGCTTCATTATCGGTGGAGAGTAGGCTCGGCCTGATTCCGTGATCTGCAGCATCCATAATCGAAAGAAAATTGCATTTCGGAAAAATCGCCCGAAATCTGTGATGGTACCCCTTTGGAATCTGCCCAAAATGGACCCGGAATAAATTCGCCCAAATTGGTGGTTAATAGACTTAATCATCATTGAAGAATAGCCTCAGGTCTAATCTGTGATCAATAGCCTTCACAATCCAAAGAAAATGGCCTTTCGTCGCCCAAAAAATACGAAAATGCCATCCGAAAATAAATTGGCCCAAATCGGTGCTTAATGGACTTATCATCCGTGGAGAATAGGATCAATAGGCTTCATTATCGGTGGAGAATAGGCTCGGCCTAAGTTCGTGATCTGCAGCATCCATAATCGCAAGAAAATGGCATTTCGGAAAAATCGCCCGAAATCTTTGATGGTACCCCTTATGAATCTGCCCAAAATGGACCCGGAATAAATTCGCCCAAATCGGTGCTTAATAGACTTAATCATCGTTGATGAATAGCCTCAGGTCTAATCCGTGATCAATAGCCTTCAAAATCCAAAGAAAATGGCCTTTCGTCGCCCAAAAAATACGAAAATGCCATCCGAAAATAAATTGGCCCAAATCGGTGCTTAATGGACTTATCATCCGTGGAGAATTGGATCAATAGGCTTCATTATCGGTGGAGAATAGGCTCGGCCTGTTTCCGTGATCTGCAGCATCCATAATCGAATAAAAATGGCATTTCGGAAAAATCGACCGAAATATGTGATGGTACCCCTTTGGAATCTGCCCAAAATGGACCCGGAATAAATTCGCCCAAATCGGCGCTTAATAGACTTAATCATCGTTGAAGAATAGCCTAAGGTCTAATCCGTGATCAATAGCCTTCAAAATCCAAAGAAAATGGCCTTTCATCGCCCAAAAAATACGAAAATGCCATCCGAAAATCAATTGGCCCAAATCGGTGCTTAATGGACTTATCATCCGTGGAGAATAGGATCAATAGACTTCATTATCAGTGGAGAATAGGCTCGGCCTGATTCTGTGGTCTGCAGCATCCCTAATAGAAAGAAAATGGCATTTCGGAAAAATCGCCCGAAATTTGTGATGGTACCCCTTTGGAATCTGCCCAAATTGGACCCGGAATAAATTCACCCAAATCGGCGCTTAATGGACTTAATCATCGTTGAAGAATAGCCTCAGGCCTAATCCGTGGTCAATAGCCTTCAAAATCCAAAGAAAATGGTCTTTCGTCGCCCAAAAAATACGAAAATGCCATCCGAAAATAAATTGGCCCAAATCGGTGGTTAATGGACTTATCATCTGTGTAGAATAGGATCAATATACTTCATTATTAGTGGAGTATAGGCTCGGCCTGATTTCGTGATCTGCAGCATCCATAATAGAAAGAAAATGGCATTTCGGAAAAATCGCATGAAATATGTGATGGTACCCCTTTGGAATCAGCCAAAAATGGACCCGGAATAAATTCGCCCAAATCGGCACTTAATGGACTTAATCATCGTTGAAGAATAGCCTCAGGGCGTATTCGTGATCTGTAGCCTTCAAAATCCAAAGAAAATGGCCTTTCATCGCCCAAAAAAATACGAAAATGCCATCCGAAAATAAATTGGCCCAAATCGGTGTTTAATGCACTTATCATCCGTTGAGAATAGTATCAATAGACTTCATTATCGGTGGAGAAAAGGCTCGGCCTGATTCCGTGATCTGCAGCCTCCAGAATCGAAAGAAAATGGCATTTCTGAAAAATCGACCCAAATCTGTGATGGTACCCCTTTGGAATCTGCCCAAAATGGACCCAGAATAAATTCGCCCAAATCGGCGCTTAATGGACTTAATCATCGTTGAAGAATAGCCTCAGGCCGAATCCGTGATCTTTAGCCTTCAATATCCAAAGAAAATTGGCTTTCGTCGCCCAAAAACTTACAAAAATGTCATCCAAAAATAAATTGGCCCAAATCCGTGCTTAATGGACTTATCATCCGTGGAGAATAGGATCAATAGACTTCATTATCGGTGGAGAATAGGCTCGGCCTGATTCCGTGATCTGCAACATCCATAATCGAAAGAAAATAGCATTTCGGAAAAATCGCCTGAAATCTGTGATGGTACCCCTTTGGAATCTGCCAAAAATGGACCCGAAATAAATTCGCCCAAATCGACGCTTAATGGACTTAATCATCGTTGAGGAATAGCCTCAGGCAGAATCCGTGATCTGTAGCCTTCAAAATCCAAAAAAAAAAAAAGACCTTTCGTCGCCCAAAAAATTACGAAAATGTCATTCGAAAATTAATTGGCCCAAATTGGTGCTTAATGCACTTATCATCCGTTGAGAATAGTATCAATAGACTTCATTATCGGTGGAGAAGAGGCTCGGCCTGATTCCGTGATCTACAGCCTCCATAATCGAAAGAAAATGACATTTCGGAAAAATCGCCCGAAATCTGTGATGGTACCCCTTTTGGAATCTGCCAAAAATGGGCCCAGAATAAATTCGCCCAAATCGGCACTTAATGGATTTAATCATCGTTGAAGAATAGCCTCAGGCTGAATCCGTGATCTGTAGCCTTCAAAATCCAAAGAAAATGGTCTTTCGTCGCCCAAAAAATTACGAAAATGCCATCCAATAATAAATTGTCCCAAATCGGTGCTTAATCGACTTATCATAGTTGGAGAATAGTATCAATAGACTTTATTATCGGTGGAGAATAGGCTCGACCTGATTCCGTGATCTGCAGCCTCTATAATCGAAAGAAAATGGCATTTCTGAAAAATCTCCCGAAATCTGTGATGGTACCCCTTTGGAATCTGTCAAAAATGGGCCCAGATTAAATTCGCCCAAATTGGCACTTAATGGACTTAATCATCGTTGAAGAATAGCCTCAGGCCGAATCCGTGATTTGTAGCCTTCAAAATCCAAAGAAAATGGTCTTTCGTCGTCTAAAAAATTTCCAAAATGCCATACGAAAATAAATTGGCCCAAATTGGTGCTTAATGGACTTATCATCCGTGGAGAATATGATCAATAGACTTCATTATCGGTGGAGAATATGCTCGGCCTGATTCCGTGATGATACCCATTTGGAATCTGCCAAAAATGGACCCGGAATAAATTCGCCAAAATCGGCGCTTGACTTATAGTACATGTGTAAAATGTATGATATATAAGAGCAACCAAATCCACGATTAATGAAGCTTATTCTTATATTATATAGAGCTTTACAATTTCAAGTTGAGGTCAACGTTTTCATGTTTATGATGATGATCTTGATTAGTACCGTTAGAATTGTTCATAATAACGGAACTCGGTCTTTCATCTTCTACGTCAATCACTTCGTGGGGGAAGAAGCTGCAGCCTCTTTGACTTTGGCAAACCCCCGCCGGCTGCTGCTGTTGTTGATGGTGACGACGGCGACGGTGGTGGTGATGGTGATGATAACTGTGGAGCGACGATGAGTCGAGTTCGGACTTCTCAGTCGTACGTTGAAAATGGCGGGGATCGTTGAGTCGAAAACTTGAGTTACAGTACCCTCCGCCGGCGGCTGTTGTCGTTGTGTTATTAGTTGCCGGAGGAGCCAGAGTGAGAAAATCTCCAGGGAAAGTCGCCGTTGACCCACTCTCTCGCGTCGGTCTCCTAGAATAATCGGCTTGCCACGTCACGTTCCAACCTGAGCACCCGTCTCTGCGCCCAGACAAATACGCCTTAATTAAATACGGGAAACAAGTTGATAATTTCAATTTGAACCATTTTATCTAATTTAAAACAGAAGCAATCTTATCTGATTTGTTTGATCTATTTTAAGGCGGGTAATATCTGTTTCATAGGTGAAGCGGAGTGGACATGGGTAAGTAATTCGACCTGCACCGTGTCCTGACACACTCTATTCTTTATATGTTTTTTTATCTAATAAATTACATGTAATTTACTTAGAATTTTTACTTTTATTACTTCATATTTTAACTATGATAAAGGTGTAAATATAATAGAACTTCAATTTCTTCAATAATCTAACTACCTTTATCTTGTGATGGCTTGTTTGTTGAACTTCTAACAAAAAAAATAAGTATTTCTAATGTTTTCTCTTTGAATTACGTATTAATATGTGTCGATCTATCTTACGCCAATTTTCACACTGTATTACTCGACCTGAACCTAACCTACTGCAAAACGAGTATAGGTATTAAGATATCCACCCCAACATGCCTCGTTGTCAGTATAGCTAGAGCTCAACCTAAGGAAATGACAAAGGTAAAGGAGTAGAATGGAGCAAAACCTAAAATAGTGATGAGTTGGGGAAGAGAAGTTGAAAACCGGTCCGGAGCCGAAGTTGAAGGAGGAAGGAGAGTCGTGGTGGTGGTGGTGGTGAACAACCGACGGAAATAATGGCGGCTGCTGTTTGCTGACGTTATTGTGGTACGTGATATTAGGGCTAGAGACGTGAACTTCCCCACCCTCTTTGCTGCCGATCTCCTGCTTGGACGACGACGAGGGATGCGCTCTCTTCATCCCGACCTTCTCCTCGTCCACCGGCGGCCAGCCAAAGCTCGAGAAGTTGCTGTAGAAGCTCTGGTTCGCCGTCGATGATGGAGTGTCTGCATGGAAGTTTACGACCGAAGAGGTCGACGAAGGAGTTGTCGGTGTTGTTGTACCGTTCATCTACACAAAATATATAAGGAGTTTGCTCATATTAGGGATCCCAATTTGAATATATAATCCAGTTAAAGTGGGTAAAATCTAATGCTGATGATGGATTTTGGATCGAATGTGTGGATTTTATTGGCTTTTGAAATTGATGGGTTGGTTTGGGTTTGGATTTTTGCTAGAATCAAACCTGTTTTTTGTACGTACGATCCAAACAATATGGATAAAGCAAAACAATGGCATTTTGTATCTTACAGGAAAGATATATATGAATAATTTATGGATGTTATTAATTTTTTTATGGCAATATAAACCTAATAATACGCAGACGATTATAGTAAGTATTTATAAGTTGTTATGTAGATGTATTTATAGGAAAATTCTCCTTTATATTACTATGTGGGAGCTCGAATAAATATGTACGTATTATCAGTGGCGGATACATGTATGTCTAGGACACCCCCTAAAATTTGGAAAAACGATTAGTCAACCTCCGATAGTAGTTTGTTTATGAGAAAAAAATGTTTAAGTAATAGTGGGACACCGTTAAAATTTGGGGAAAAAATTATGCAACCTCCAGTAATAGTTTGCATATTGGTACAAATAATATTTAAGTAGTAGTTTATGTGATTTAAACTTGGGACACTGCCACTATTAGTAAGCATATTTTCAATTACACTACAACTCATTTGTTATTGTGTTTTAGATCCAAATACAATAGTAAAATATTATTCTTATCCCAAATTATTTTCAAAACCTAACGATTAAACCTAATTACGGGATACCCTTGTCTAGTAGGATATGTCGAGAAATATTTGTTGAGCAATATAGACACCGAATTTATTTTACCATTTTACAAAATACGTTCGAACTTTTAATGTAACTTTTACTAGTACAATATTTTTATATTTAATAATTATTTAATTTAATTCTAATATTTGATTTTATTTATTTTTTTATATAGGACACCCCTATTTAAAATTCCTGGATCCCCCACTGCGTATTATGTTCGTAAATCCATTGGTACCCTTGCACCTGTGAGTATGATCTGTTGTGTTGTATTTGATTTTCACTTCGAAACTGCAATGATTATTTTACCGGATTTTTCAATAGGTGCACCGCGCTGAGTTGAATTTAACGAAATCCAACCCAGCCCGATTCATTCCCATCCCTGCTAATTAGAATTGATATATAACCTTCTTGGATATAATATCACTCAATTATATATATGGTTATGTAACGATGTGGATTGCTCTTTTATTACCATGGAGGAACTGTAGGAACAAGGGGTGAAAGATGGCGTCGCCGGCGGCTGCTGGTACTTCTGATGATAATAAGGTGGTGGCGGTGGTGCTTTATTAACCAAATGACAGGGAAGGAACCAAATCGAGTTAGGGTTGTTGTTGTTTCCGGCCGATGAAAACCCACTGCCGCTGTAGTCGTGAGTCGACGAAGAGCTGCCGCCGCCGGTGGGGTGGCTGCGGTGGTTGTAAGAGTGGTGGTGGTCGGATTTTGTCTGTTGTTGTTGTTGTTGTTGTTGTTGTTGTTGCTCTTCCAGCTGCCTGATCCTCTCCAATTGCGCCACTCCCAACCCTCTCTGTGGAACTTTATGTTTCTGTTTTTGCTTCTTCGATGGTCGACCGCCGCCGTTGCTTCCCAACCCTAGCTCGCCGCCGTTGCCGCCACCGTGGCTTCCCGTGGCACTAATGTTGTTGTTGCTGTTGTTACTGTAGGTGTAGTTCTGGCTAAGGATTTCATCCTTCTGATGACCCATTTTTTTGGTTCGCCGGCGCGAGAGAAAAAAAAAAAGTGAAAAATGTTAGTTTGTCGCGACGTTGGATACTCAGCTGGTTTACGTTGCGCGAGTTCTGTTGGAGAAATAATGAAATATGGTCATTGGTTTAGTGAAAAAAAGAGAGAGGAGAAAAAGAAGGCGGGAGATTTGGTTGGAAGAAATTCTGGAGAAACAAAAGGCAAATCTAAAGGCGTAAAATGGGATTCAAATGTCGAGAGAGAAAAAATAGGGGAGGAACTGAATTTTGGGAGTCAGAAATTTGGGGCAACATCTTCGCTCAACTTTCGCTAAAGACGGTCTTTTTTTGTCTCTATTTTTCGTCGTGTCTGTGTTGAAGTGAGGGTGTGAGTGACGTGTGTGTTGAAGGTTTTGGAAATTGGAAAGAAATCTAGATTTGATTTTGGGGCAAAGGAGGCTATTCGAAGCTTTGGTTGTTGGCTCGATTTTGGGAGGATGTTGCAGGCAGTTGGTTCTAGATTTGGTTTTTTTGCTTTCTTTGCTAGTCATCATGTGTCTGTTGCTGCCACCTCTTATGAAATCTCGTTAATATGATAACGAAAAGACGATTAACGTAAATCTAGACATGAATATTTCGCTATGTCTATATTTGATGGCAGTGTAACGTATCGAAACATGCATGTACGTTTCAAAGAATACAACACTCGCAAGGTGATCGCTCTAGTGTCAGCTACGAAACACCCGTCGCACATCATTTCAACTCTTCTGCGACGAGAACGTATCTTCGTTAAATCTTTTTCCACTTTCTGCGACGACATCTTTCAATGTATGATACTCTTCCATATTCGTCATGATAATGTTTCGCGACAATAAAGTTTGTCTCCAAAAGTTACATATTCGTCACAAAAGCCATTAGTGGACCTTTGTTGAAAAATTATGACATTCTGCGACGAAAATTGTAAATCCGTCGCAGATGTTCCAGAGCTATGCACGTGCCCACGACATGCATGCATGCAGGGCTTTTAAAATGGTGGCTCCCACGACCACATTGCATGGGCCAGCCCAGACCTTCAGCTAGCTATGGGCCATTCTTGGGCCGCATAATTTGTCTCTTTCGGCCCATTTTCTTCCTCCTGAGTGTGATGGGCTTTCCCACTTCAGTTCCTACTTGTTATCTGGCTGTGTTCGCCTGTTCGGCTCTGTCGTATCGTATCATATGACTATTTGTTCTCATTTGAGGCGCCACTGCAAGTCCCGTTTCGAAACGCGACTACATGGGTGTCATATATCATCCAAGTCACAACATAAATGTACCTCAAAGACACATAAACGCCAGCTTTTTCAAGTTTACATAAGAACAGCCAACTCACTAGACGCAGAATCAAATCTCTCATAGATGTAGCTTTCCAGTCAGCGATCCATCTCGCCTCCAGCGGAGACTCTACGACCAACCAAAGACGTAATCAAGAACATAGACCAGTGCCAGGGAGAACGGGTAGAGCAGGAAGGCGATCGAAGCTGTCCAAAGAGGGAATGTGGTGCGGAAGCTGGCGAAGGCGCCCATTACGAGACACACGATGAGAATGACCAGCACCTCGGATGAGAAGTCCCAAACCAATCCTCTGATGTACACGATCGCGAGGAACACCGACAGGCAGAGGACGTTGTTCATGGTCACAGCCCCATACAACTGTCAGAAAATTACAGCAATGAATGATGCAGATGTGAAGTTAACATCATCTCGATCACCAGCCACATTTGTGAATAGGGGTAAATGTTATGAGAATGGTACGATGGGGAAAGACTAAGTACCTCGGAGAATGTCAAAGAGGCAGTTCTGAACTTCTTGCGGGTGGCAAATATGATAGCTGAAACTGCTTCGCTGGAATTGGTGGCCAGAGGCAGAGCAATGAACGAGATGAAGAAGGTGGGGATGCTCGTTGCGGCAGAAAAATTGTCGACAGCATCCACCAGTGGGTCGGCAAATGCACCTGCAATAGCTGTCCCCAGCATCAACATTAACACCGCCTTAAATGAGATCCACCTTGGATTCTCGACTTCTTCGATGACCTCGTCACTCTGCTCGGTTTCTTGTTCTGCTCCCAGCAAAGTATGCTCTCTTTTTGTTTGCTGTAATCATATTAAAAGGTCAGGATCAGAACTGAGATAAACACCAGTTGATAGTTAGAGAGGTGCACCAATTCGGATCACACTGAATAAACTTTTAATTCCATGAATCGAGATAAAAACAAAGACAAAAGGGGTGAATTGAGACGTGATCAGACTAAAATCGAATGTACTTTTGATCAGATTCTAATCCTACTTTTCACTGGATCTTTTTGTATCTTATCCCAGGTCGATTCAGACTGATTCTGGAGTGGACCAGACCACGCACACTCTAGTTACAGTAATGCTTACCATGTGATAATCGTTTATGAACTTCATTGTCCTAGGACCAGCATCAGGAGCAGTACCAGATCCTGCTCGCTTTGCCTCATTAAGCCACTTGGTTATCCCGTGAACAAACTCATTCTCGTCGATCTTCGCATCAAGTGACGAATCAAAGTCGCTCATTACTTTAGCCACAGCATCATCCCTATCAAAATTTATCTCTTCGAAGGTAATTCCTATGATCAATGCTTTCAGTTCGGCCGCTGAGACATAATTATCTTTATCTTGATCGATTGTTCCGAACAACCTGCATCAAGAAGCAATGCCAAAAAAGTTAGCCGATCGAACCTTGTGGTAAACTAAGCATCGGCTTATTAGTGACAAACTAACTTTCTTATGACTTCTCTGTCAGGTTCACCATCATCGTCCAGAAGCCTTCCCAGGGACCGTTGTTTCAAATGCTTCAAAATCCCAGATATCACATGTTTGTGCTTTGCAAAAGCAAGCCTTCTTCTCTGAACCCAAGGCTGGAAAACCTGTGTGACATTGCAAGATCCCATAAACCAAAATCAGAAGCCATTGAAGCTAAGCGGTGGTTAAGAACCACATGATATCTAATGCTTCCCATTCCCAGTCTCTTAATCATTCCAAAATCCTAGGATTTCAAAGAGCGCATCAAATCGTGGCAGCCTAAAACCGAGGAATATCAGTTCCCTCATTTTAGATGGGCCCTGTAAGGATTGCGTGCGGCCAATTCAGGACAACGAAGATATAACTATTTAGAAGAAAAAGCAACAAGATGCACATTCTCTTCAGTTCTTAAACCAATTATTCTTCCACAGCCTTCCCATGACGAGACCAAATGCCAAACGGAGAAAACTATTATGGCTAAGCATAATAACAGGGAAGAGAAGCCTTACCTGGTAGAGACAATATGAAATGAGCATCGAAACAGATACAACAAGTCCAATCAAGACCGCCACCTGTCTCCCAGCTGTTGAATGAATCATTTGTGGGAACTGAACGATAACGAATGGAATAACTGATATAGCCATTATTCTGGCAGCATAGCAAGTCCAGATATCAGTACTGACACCACTAGCTGCAACCATAAAACCACCGTCATTACATTAGATCTTTAGATGATATGTAAGATTATCCAAACCAGCACCTAAAATACTCTCTACTCAAACAATTCAACTGCCAGCAGGCGTCAAGCTCCAACAGCTCGAAACAAGATCTCGCCTTTATAAAGTCAATCAATCAGCAAGCCCAAGAAATGAACGTCCAAAGGCATAGAGACAGAAGAACTTCTGAGTTCTGTCCATGGCTAAAACTGATCATACATCCACCAAAACTGAACAGGATAATCATGTGAAACCTCACCAGTTAAGTGCATCCCTTTGGTGTCCTGGCCATCAATGGCGATGGAATCCGACTCCCTGATATCACATTTGCCAACAAGAATGCAGGTCCCCCAGATCAAAGTAAGCAGCATGACAGTCGAACCAGCCAGCAACCCCATCCCAACGGAGACTTGACTCTGAGCAGTCTCAACACTCCCAGAAAGCCCAGACACTAGAAATCACAGCCACCAAAAAAGCATAACCAAATCAACATGAGAGAAAGTAGAACGAGTTCAATTTATAAGAAATGGAGGATTCATCCAGTCCTGTGGAGTTCCAGCCAATCCAACTTACCCATGATGAGCATAGCATCGGGGAGGGCACCGAGAGCAGGGAGGAACAGACCCCCGACAATCCCAGGCCCCAGAATCTCGAGCAAGAGCTCACTACCGTTTGACAAGTAAGTTGCAGCGAGGAACATGAGGTAGCCATAGACGATAATCAAGAAGAAGTTGCCTAGGGCTGTGGTCGTGCAGGGCATGAAGCCATAGGATTGCTCGCAGGACTCCGTCACCACCGGCTCCTCTGACTTGAGCAGGAGGTGATAGTACGGGCTTGTCTGGTTCCAGCCGCCGTCGTGAACGCCATCGGAGACCGGATCGGAAGAAGGGTTTTCGGTGGAGGAGGAGAGGAATCGGGAGTGAACGGCTGTGACGGCGAGGAAGAGGAAGAAGCAGAGGAATTGGGGTCGGATAGTTGGAACCGCCATGGGAGGTTTATTGGGGATTTTAGCTAGCGGGGAGTGGGAGTTGAAGGAGCTGACATGGGACTATGGGATGGGAGACAGAGAGAGCGAAAGAAAGGGGGATCTGTGAATGGAGTGAAGATCGGGATTTATGGGAGTGAGTGAAGGAAGGAAGGAAGGAGAAGAAGAAGAAGAAGGGTCTGTACGGTTTTTGGGGATTGGGGAAGTTAATGGCTGGATTTCAACGAAACCGAAACATAAAGAATTGGGAGAAGCCGAGAAGGGGAGACACGAGAGTACGAGACAGTTCACTGAGTGACTGAGTCGGACATTGGCGTGGCTCTTCCGAGTTGGGGCCTCGGATGCTGGAGGGAGAAAGGGAAATGGACACACTGCCGATCTGCTGATGCTTCCCCCCACACGTGCATTTATGCATACCAACCTCATTTTCATGGTTCTAACCATTTGGTTTGAATCGGTTCGGTTCAATTGACAATCAGGTTGAATCATATAAGTGTATAGTTGTGTTGATTAGGGTTAAATCGACAATGTATGTGAGGGTAAATATTCTTGTGATTGTTGAATTGTGATTGTTGAATGATCGAACTTTCTATAAGATAAGTTAAGTAGTTCAATTTTGACAGTCAACATTTTTGCGTTACCCCTTAATCTCAAGGGTTGTGCGCCCTTATTAGACGCTCCTAGAATTGGTCGGGTATCTATAGGGGCTAGAATTCTGTCGCAAAACAGATTTCTCCTCATATCGAATTTTTTTTTTTATGTCAGTAGTAAGGTATCATTTGGAGAACTGAAATGATAAGGTAGTTGAAATGGACACACCTACAAGTTGTAAATAACATTTTAGTTCTAATTTTGGGCTTGAAACTATACACGCAAACAACAAATAAACAAGTTTGTAAAAAGATTAGTCGTTGTTATCGACGATGTTTGATGATTTAATAATTCACACAGAAAGAACAAGCTGGTGAAGAACAGTGTATGCAACTCCATGTTTCTCTTCATTACAATTGGCCACATTTATGGTCCTTATTTTAACGATTTAAGGGCACATCCAGATCTGTATTCTGAGACATTGCAACAACAATAAGGGTTGCTGAACATATTTCCAGGCATTACAACCCTCTTTTACACTTGCAGAACAATGACCAATTTATGCACAGAGGTGAGTTTACTCGGTGATGGTTGCAAGCCAATCATGTTTTCAAGTAAATATGTAAACTTCATCATATCCTTTCCTGCAAAAGGGGAACGGAATGGGGAACAAGAAGCATTCAACAGAAGTTCAAATCTCAACCAAAGAATCAACCTCTCCACCTATCAGCAATTGAATCAGGAAAACCGAATGTCGGGACGTTACCCGGCTATCCCACAGTAAGTGGGGCTGTAGTTGTAGATCAGATTGCTCAGCACTGCCGTGGCAGCAGGTCGATTCAGTGACTTCCTAGCCTCACTGCAACAGGAGAAACACACCAACGATTCATAATCCAGATCAGGATTCAATGGCTCCCCTAGTATTTGCCTTCCACTTCTTTCTTCCAACAATGCATTTGAAAAGGAAATGGAGGAAAAGAATCGATGAATGCAGATTGGCTCTTGGAAGATATATCTCAGGTCTAAGGCGTAATTCGAATCATGAATTTTGTTCAAGGATTTCAGGATACGTTCCTGGCAAGGGTTTGTCAAGAAACTCTTGTTTGGTGGACCAAAAATAGGCCACCAATCCATACATTTGCGATTCCATGATACAGGGCCAAAGCTGTAGGTCCAATGGATTTGACAAACCCTCCTCCTCCATAAGTAACAATCGCTTCTAATTCACAGATCCAACCAACCCTTTTCAAATCCCAAAACTCACAATTGCTTTATTCACAGTAACTTGCTAACCTGACAAAAAAGTTGGCCACATTCTGAGTCACTTGAATGGCGTCTTCTGAATGCGGAATCATTGACGAACCCCACTCAAAAGCATTTTTCTGCAAAGGGAAAGCTGACAACTTTGAGAATCCAGGGCCGCATGCAGCATTCCATTCCTAGAGTTAATATAGAGAGCAAAAAGGAGTTTGTACCTCTGGATGCCACTGGAATGCAGTCACTGGATAATTGTTTGCTTGTGCAGTAGACACATAGACCTGATAAGGTGTTAGCAACAGATAGTTATTGATAAGGCAGCAAAGCTAAGAATTATCTTTCCTTTCTCTTACCTCGTTATTTTCATCTGTGCTTGTCGTCAAGATTTTAAAAAAACTTGACAGATCAGGATTCCCCAGAAGCCTTTCAGGTGAGATGCCAAACTGAGGCAACGCAGAAGAGAAATTGCATGAGGGGGAAAAATATTTGTTTTGCTTAGCATATCAGCTGGGAAGATCACAAATTGGATCATAAAGATATAAATACAGCATCACACAAGCAAATGTTGAACTTTAATGTAGAGGAAATACAGAATTTGGCTCCGTGAGAGAGTGAAATTGCCGGAGCAGCTTGTATGGATGACTTGTAAAGGAGAGATATGAACTTGATTGAATGTTAGGTAAGAGGTAAAAAGGATCTGAATTCAATAGAATCTCCTTTCCATTCTTTAATCATTTTACAATATACATTATATTCTATGCAACACCAGCCAAACTAATACACGAACCAGTACCAAGTTGGGTAACTATGACTAGTGTTTTTGAACTCACATGATGGTTTTGCATTACGAGGCAATCTGTACTCATTCTTTTTAGTAGACCAGGAGGGAACCTGTTATAATGAAAGAAGATAAGCAGACTGATATCCCAAAATTGTTTTGCAAGAAAATTGACAAAGATACGAGCCCCAATGCTAAAAGTCCAAAGAAAGGATTGTAATTATCAATTTTTATCAAAGCGCAAAGAACTTGCTCCAAAAGCTACAGTCTCAGCGTTGTTAGGAATGAAGCTCCAATACCCGAAGTTTGCAGAAAGGAAGGAAATATGATATGTACTCAAGATATAACTTCTCTTCTATTGGCAGACAAGCAAAATGGATTTTGGTTTTGGCTCTGTTTTCCTCAGAGATCAACACTGCAAATGGAAAAAATTAAATCTGAAGAAGCTTTTACACATGTACCTTTGAAACACAGTTCCTTCGGTATTTATGTTTTTCACAAATTGCAGAGTGGAAGCCTGATCTTCGGCATTAAAGGATTCCAGAATGTTATTGTCCTATTACCAAGGGGAAAGTGAGATCAATAAGGGTAACATCACAGATTGATGAACATGGATTGAAAAAAAAAGAGTCAAACACAGCAGCATTTTCTAAAATTACAGTTCAATTCTGCTATTTCATCCTCAGATTCATGCCTGACTGACACATCTTGTTAAGGATAACATGCTGGAATAGAGAGATAGTACAATTGAGCCGTTTGAATAACTCAAACGGTAAGCCAACTAAAGTTTTCTGAGGGGGCGTTAACTCACTATGACTAGGACCTTCTATAGAGTTGTGATAGGGTAGAAAAGTAGCTAGTTTTAATGTAAAAAAAAGACTAAGGACAACGAATTTTAGCTAGTGAGCAATTACAAGTGGAAACAAGGAAATGGAACAAGGCTCACCTTACTAACAATCATCGTCAAGAGTTCAAAACCCAAGCAGATGGCATACAGAGGGAAGTGCTGTCCGGCATCATTCTTGGCTAGAACTTTCTGCGAGTCAAACATTACCATCATTATTTACTATATTTAGTATGATCCTGGACATCAAACATAAAACTACTTGTATCAAGCCCCCAACATCATCAAACAGTTGTCTAGCTAAACAAATCAAGTGCAGAACAGTGGTAATAGAGAGGGGACTGAATGTTTAAATACAACATCAACAGGGTAACGAGGTGGTAATTACCAAGATACAAACTTGATGTAATTATCACCCCAAGAGACCTTCATAGTTAGTTAACACACTAAAAGCAAATTAGTCAATGTTCCTATCTATTCCCAGATCATAATGAGCAGAATAAGATGCAAGAGACCCCATGATAAACAGCTAGATAACAGTAGGAACCATTCTTAATTAATCACCTCGAAAATCGCCTTCACACGGTCGAAGTACAATCCTTTCTTCGCCCAACCTCCAGTGAAGAGGACTCCATTCACCAAATTCAGCTTCTGCAGTACAACAGACAAGGAACATTTTGTCATAATCCCTAGTGATGGTCATAGAATTTCAATTGCTGATGACAATAACAATAGCCAGAGAGCCACGGAAGAAGAAGTACCTCGAAGAGGACGTCGGCAGGCTCGGTATAGATAAGGGGAATGACGCGGGCGCCGGCCGATTCAACGAACTTGACGTACGACGCCGCGATATAGGAAGCATCGGTCGCGTTACTCAGCCTTCCAGAAGCACCGTCGCCGGGATGACTGACGATTCCGATCACCGGCCGGTAGTTCAGGTTCGGGTTCAGCGCCGGACAGCTTGGAACCGACGGGAAGGCGTCGGAAGCGGAGGATGAGTCATCGGCCAGATGGCTGGGGAGACGAATCGTTGACTGAACAGCGTCCGATGCTTTGACCAGGCTCAATTCCTTGGAGAGCGAGAGGAGGAAAGGGATCCAGAAGTAATTCCACATGGCTGCCTCCGGGGAGGCCGCGAGGGGAGCGGGGACGGCGGAAGGAGAGGAAGAAGAAGCACGGGAGGCGACGGATTCGGTGGAGCGGTCGGAGGAAAGGGAGGAGACGCCGCCGGCCGAGTGGAAATTAGGGAGGAGGTCAGAGGGCATTTTAGGGATTGGGAAGAATGGAAAGGAGCAGACTCGTTAATGTCGTCATGAGATTGGAGGAGGAGGAGAAGCGGAGAGTGGTGAGTAAGAAAGCTGATTGAAGAAGAGTTGGCGGCGGCTGGCCGGCGGTGACGTCGGCTGCCGGCGAGAAGTCCTGAAGAATTTTGCGGCAGCAGGAAGCTGCAAGGCGGGCGGGAGATACAGAAATGGCGGGTGGTGGTGGTAGACTGGTAGATTGTCGAATTTGCTAATCTGCTTATCCACGCTTTGATTAATTAGTAATGTGTAACATAAATAATAGAAAAAAGAAATGAAAATTGATGGAAGGAAAAGGACGTATTGTTTCTAGCAAGAAAAAGGAAATAATGTAGCCGAGATCGTATTAGACAAGTTAGCATAATTATATTTAAGTATTTCAAACTTGTTTTAGACAAGTTAGTAGAATAATATTTGCAATACTTCCAACTTAATTTCATCAAATTGATTGATATGAATTTTATTTCAAGTAGTGTTTATATATCATAGCAGCGATACGAGTTTTTACACGGTATGATCAGTTGATATATAAACAAGCAGAACTCGAGCTAGCAGCAATAATTTAGGTCTAAATGAGAAGCAGCCATAGGTAACAAACGCTTGCAGATTGCATTTTCAACTGGAAACATGGTGGTGCGGGGGAGATCTAGAGGGCAAACAGACAGAGGAAACACTGCCATGCATAGCATCGTCAGTCCACCAAAAAACACAGTTTCCCAAGAGGCACAAGCCGCGGCGGCGAAGGGTAGAGAAATTTCGGAAAGACGAGGTGTTTTCAATGTACATCAGCAAGTCTTGAAGACTTCAGAACCAGGGCCATATCGGATAATGCTCGTGAGCTGAGCGATTCACTTCTTGCCTCGTAACTTCACTCCGAGAGCTCGCTCCAACTTGCTAATGATCTGTTGGTTAGGAATGGCTTTGCCGGATTCGTACTCCTGAATTATCTGAGGCTTCTCATTGATTAACTGCATCCAGTCCATAAACAGTAGAGTTAGAGGGGTATTAAGAACTAAATATCTGCTGTTATGCAAGCTTGACTGTGGTGAGTGTGTGTGTGTGTGTGAGAGAGAGAGAGAGACCTGAGCAAGTTGAGACTGAGTAAGCTTCTTGTCCATTCGACCTTGCATGATGGCCTTCTTCAGTTCGCTTGGCACTCGCTCATCTGTTCACGTTACAAGCAACTGTCGTCACAAATAGTGGTAAAAATGATCTGATCCACATGGTATCGATTTGATTGCATCATAAGATAGAATGGGATCAACTCAGAAAAGCAAAAGGGAAGCATGCTGAGTTCATCTATAACTAAAGTGGTAGATGTGCAACTCTTGGCAGCAAGGAAAAGAGGATTTTTCAAGATCTGCAGTAGAATATATCTGCAGACCAATCCTTGCCGGGATGGATAACTTCAAATATCAAAGGTGAATATCTTGAATCGATTCAGATACAGACTTCATGATTAATTCTTTTTCCCAAAATATTTCCAAATAACCTTCACCCAGCTAGCAGAAAGGAACAGATTCTTTCTCAATGTTGCGCACGGAACAAAACTCTTATTTCCACCTTAAAGTACCACTCCATTTACCCACCATCTGGTGGTTTGTCCCTTTCCAACTTTTGATGGAACAAGATTCTTTGATTACTCATCAGAAACACAAAGACAATAAAGCAAATTTAAAACCAGACTCTACACAGCAATCTGCAAAAGAATTATAGATTTGTCCTCTATGATACTCTAATACGTAGACCGGAAAGGAAGCCCAAGTTTAACATCAAAGCCAAAGGATTTTCTATTTTCATTTGCCAGAGTGGGAAACCAGTATTATGAAGTCACCCTCGATCCCAACACAGAAGAAAGCAACTGTAGCATTTTCAGTAATTTCTAACCAAGAAGGACCTACAACCTTCTGTTCAATCATCTGTAATATCCCATATAGCTGTAATCATCTGTAATCAGCCCCAAATATCCCAAAAGGCAAAACCCATATAGCTCAAACAAGACTTCATATGAGAAGTTGCCTAAACTGTTCTGTTCAATCATCTGTAATTATTCAAGGATTGCAAGACATAAGAAATTCAACCACTATACTCTAGCTTATGATTGGATGATTCTCGACGTCAAACAGAAAGCACGCTACGAGTAGCATGTTGCAAATCGAGGGCAGAACAAAACATAAAATGGAAACAAAATGAACATGAAGAGGAAAAATACTCACGAGCAACAATCTCAGTCTCTTCATCAAGCTTCCTGGTGTTCAAGGTAGTACTGCTAGAGGCTGCCTTGTTCGAGCCAGCATTTGCTGCATAAATCACACAATCATAAACATTAGAGCACTTCTTTCCAGAATTTGGCCGGATAAATACCATAGAACATCTAACACATCGATCAACAAATAAACTACCTATCCTAAGCTTCCATGCAAGTTCCTGCAAACAGTGAAAGAGCTTTACTAGCATGGAGTTCATTCACCACGTCACAGGAAGCCATAATCTCCATCACCCATCGCAGGAAAAGGAGATCAAACCGAACATAAAATACAGCAAACAAAACCCTAACTCTCCAGCGATAGCAAACCATCAATCAGCGAGAAAACCTAACTCTGTATACCGATCACCTCACCAAAATTCCACTGTTTCTCCAGAAATAAAAAAAACGCAACAAACGATTTCAGCGATCTTTGTAAGTGAAGTAGGGAAGAACGAAAGATGAAACGGAGACTATCAGAGAGCCACAAAAAGCAAACGAAAATAAACGAAGACGAAGGGAGAACTAACATTTCTTGATGGTCTCAATCTCAGCTCCGGCGCGGCGAGCAGCGTTCACGACCTTCTCGTCCTTCTTGGCAGCGGATGTCGGAGCTTTCTTGCGGATGACGATTGGTTCCCAGTCCTGCGAGATTCCTCCTGACATTTTGTCCTGCTTTCCTCCTGTGTTTCTTCCTGCTTCTTCTTCCTCTCTTCGATCGTGGTCTGTGAATTGTGATCAAGCTCACGCTCCAAAGCTTTTCTATCTCCCTCCTCAGTTCGTCGAGTACTACATAAATAGGCAAACGTAAGAAGAAGATCAAAACGGGCCCTGGGGAGAAACTCATTTTGGGCCTCCTGCACGAAGCCCATTTATCCAACGGGACCTATCAAACCATTTCTACATTTTGGGCTTCTGCCACCGAGCCCATTCTTGATGTTAATACGAGAATTTATATCCCAGTAGACAATAGTTGATACGATGAGCATACAACACCAATCGCTTAATCAAGGAGGAAAGGAATTACACAACTGCTAAATTATCCGCTGAGTTTGATTGATGAAAGTTTTGAGCATTGCCTCGAGACTTCGTTGTGCTATAGCCGACGGCAAGGTGAGATCAGATCGTGTTTCGAATTCGAGGAGTTTTACAGCACTATTGCTTGAGGGTAGCACTCATCGACCTCCATTTCCAAAGACACCCAAGTCTGCTTGCAGCTCTGCCACTTGCACTGCAGCCGCTCCAGAAATGCCTCGGCCCATGGCTCCTTCCTTCCCCGCATGCTCAGCTCATATGGCACTGAGAAACTGTTGCAACAATTTATGCTTAGTACACAAAGAAACTGGCATCACAACTAATAGAATTTCAGCTAAGCAAGAATCATGTCAATGCATCGATACTGACTCAACTACGTTATCAATTCATTCATCCAGAGATTACTGACAAACCTAACTAGCTAGCTTTCCACAGTCAGAAGTTGGACCATTGCACATTAAGGATAATATTTACCTCATTAGTTCTTCAGGTTGGGATCCCTTACTGGATGCTGCATTGCCTCTGCAGGAACAAAACCATGACTCCATATTAGCCCCCCATCTTCATCCTTCCTTCTCAATGCTTTCTATACATTTAGCTAGAGAAAACTGAGACCAGGAAGAGCAAACATACCTGCGGACTAATATTCTGAAGAGATGCAGATTCTTCGTTGACAGATTACATATTGCTTCTGATATGAACTCCTTGCCGAACAAATACACTACAGGGTAGCCAAGAAGCCATCTGGAAATGAAATATAGATGATTGAACGAAATGTCGCCCAACTTCAAAATCCACGTAGTGTACAACTGAAACAATTTCGCAAGGAGGGGAAGAATCATCTTCCATCAAGGATCGGATAAGAGAATGTGCGTAGTGTATATATTACTGACCCATTTAGAGTCGGCACTGTGATCTGAGTATCTTTCATGCAACTGCTGAGATCAATATGTCCATCAGATAACGAAGTGCTAGGTTCGACATTGGCCACAGTATCTCTCGCAGCGGGCAACAAGGCAGCATCTTTCGCTTCATCAAGGGGAAAGAATCGGGAGAACATTCTCTGCAGTCTCAAGAATTCAGATCCCAAGGGGCAGTCGTGCTTTTGCGAAACCATCTGGAGAACGTAAATGAAACCTCGACGTATTAACCAGATAGCACGATTAGCGAAATGGATTCGAGCTAGCAACCAACCTCCAGTGGATCCTGCTCCAGGTTGACAAAAATCAATTCCGCTTCTGAGTTCAAGCTTGTCCTGGCATACTCCGCAAGTCCTTTAGTGTGTATCAGATAGATCATATCATCCACAACCATCACTCTTAGGCATTCGAAAACCGCAGACTCCTGATTAGGAAAGGAAGAAGTCAGGGTCACAACTTCATCCAGACTACACATCAGCCTGGGAAACCCTAAACTTAAATGACTAGTAAGCTTTTAACAGGCTCTAAAGTGTAACAAAATTTGTTCTTAGCTCTAATTCCAGAAGAACATTTTACATATGCATGATCACGCAAACTCAAGCTAGGTTTCTGGCCACTAAGCAGCGCATTAAAGAAACAGTTAAACCTGGTGGCATTGTTTGATGAGTGCACAAAGGTGTTGCTGCAATTCGGGCATCTTCCCGCCATAATCGACCATTATCACTGGCCTCATTCCTGTCAGTAATGCAAGAACATCTGCAAGAACGGAAAAGAAAAAACAGGAATTCAATTAAAGCACATCCCGCCATCTCAAAGCTAGAGATCAAGCCAAGCTTTCAATTTGTAGGTTTGGGAGAGGTTTGATTCAAGAGCGGACCTATCTCGAGGCGGCGCTTGGCTGGAGGTTTAAGGCGCCATTTCAGTTGAGAAAGAGAAGAATTCAGCACTTGTAGGACTTCATCCGTCGCCTCGAACACCATTTTTCGCCTGCGAGGCGCTGATCGGAGCAACTAAATCGGCCGCTTTCAGTTAACTGGAGGACCGGCGTCTCAGTGACGTGAGCCGTGAGCAAATAACATCTCGATTTATTTATTTTTCTTCGGTCTCTTTGGGTTTAATAGCTAAATGGTGACTCAATTATGAAGAGCGTATCAAAATGATCACTAATTGAGTAATTGTGGAGGTATTATCTCTTTTTTCATTGTTGTTGGAGTGAAATGATATAACTTAAAACATGGGGTACTGATATGTAAGCTCGTTTTTTGCCGTGGGGATATAATGAATGGTTTATTTCTAGTTCTGTTCTTCATCGAAACTGAAGACCACAATCGAAAGAAATCCTCCCGCGAGACGATCAATTAGACGGCGAGCTTTCAGATTCCGATCAGCCGTTGCAGTTCTTATTTGAATTCGGCGCATCTTTTTTCGAAGAGCTTCAGAGGCAAGTAGTGAAGCCATGGGTCGACCTCCCAGCAATGGCGGCCCTGCCTTTCGCTTCACCCACGCCGAGGTCTGTTCCATTTTCCTCATTTTGAATTCATTCCGCGTTTGGATGTTGGTTCTCTTTTTCTATCCTCTTGATGGTTGTGGCCGTCTTGATCGCTCGCTTCCGGATTCCAATTTAATGGCGTTTTTAGGTTGGACTGAACATTATTAAGCCAAGTTTCGTAGCGTGGTAGTTCATTGAATTAGTTAGCCGAAGTTGGGTTTTTTGCTCTTCGTCTCATCAGATGTAACTGGGTTGTGCTAATTAAATGCCACATCCTTTTTTGAATGATGGAGTAGCAGAATGCTAGTGGTGATAGTTTTCTGCGTTTCTGGGTTGTTGGGTTCTATTTAGAAGAAACAAGGGATGGAAGACTGGAAAGCTATCTTTTGTGTTCTTGTTTTGAAGAGTGTAGATCTTTGAGCTGTTGCCGTGGTGCTAGAGAGTTAATTACCAGGTAAAAACTTGGAATAACATGCTGTATGGTGCTCTCTTTGTTAGGTTGCGGAGATGGAAGCAATTCTGCAACACCACAAGCAAGTAATGCCAGCTCGTGAGGTTCTTGTGGCTCTTGCTGAGAGGTTCAGGTTAGTTCTTAAGAGAATTTGAAAGTGCTTATAATTTAACTACCAATCATGAATACTGAATCGGAAAACTCCGAAGAATGAAATTTTTGGGCATTGTTTTCTGATGACAGTGAATCTCCAGAGCGAAAAGGGAAGATCTCGGTGCAAATGAAGCAGGTCAAGATAATTCAGCCCCTGTTCCTATATTCTGGGGGGTTTTAGGTTGTTGTCTAAGTGTGATTTGAATCACAGGTATGGAACTGGTTCCAAAACAGGCGTTATGCTATAAGAGCCAAACAAAGCAAGTCGCCAGCAAAGTTAAATATAACACCAGTGCAACGGGATGATCTACATACAATTAAAAATGTTCCACAACCTGTAGCTACTCCTGCGTCTATTCATGCAACTACTAGCATGGCTGCTCCTTCAGGTGTGCTAATTTTAAATGTTTAAAGCCTTGGAAATATAAGCTTATTTATTTAAATTTGATTTTTCAAATTTTTTCTTCTCCAGATATCCTGATTATCTTTACTTGTTCTTGGTTGCATATGAAGACATTTAAGATATTCCACCATTTTTGTTCTTCACAATTTCCATGATTGATCTGCAGCAATGATTATGAGTTTTGTTCAATTTAAGTGCTGCAATACATCCTGATTAATCATCAACTTCATTGCATTAAATGGCAGCTTGAAGCTGAAGATTTGAGCTGCGATTTTTAAGTTTTCTTTGTAATCTTTGCCTTTTCTTTGCACAGTTTCAATTCCAGGAAGGGTGACTCCAGAAAATACGTACATGGAATTTGAAGCCAAATCTGCTAGAGATGGTGCATGGTGGGTGACTCGACTCATTTAGCCTATGAAGTGAAGCAAATCACATTATGGCTTCTTGCAACCTCTCTTTGTGTTTTATTGGGGTTAAGTGTCCTCAATCCCTAATGAGTTTTGGCTCTTTTCAGGTATGACGTTGCGACATTCCTGTCTCATAGATACCTGGACACGGGTGATCCGGTAACATGCAACTCATTTGCGCTGGGTTATGTTTAACAGGATGGTTATTGAAAGTTATTCTTTATAATCTGCTTAAGCCAGTTCATTTTACATAATATCTTGCCACCAATTCATCTTAGTTATATTCATATAACTAGGAAAAGAAGAAAAAATGAGAGAACGTGCTTAAAGTGCTCTCTTTTTTTTCTTTCAGGGGGGTATCTGCTTTTGATCCTTTAACAATTTGCTCTCTCATTTGATACTGCTTGGGGAATTTCAGGAAGTACTGGTTCGTTTTTCTGGTTTTGGACCAGATGAGGACGAGTGGCTCAATGTTCGCAAGAGTGTAAGGCAGCGTTCCCTCCCATGTGAAGCATCCGAATGCGTTGCGGTTCTTCCTGGAGACCTAATTCTATGTTTCCAGGTAACCTGTTATGCAATATCTTTTTACTACTGACTGTTTGTGTAGCCTATTGTTTAAATCAACTTCAGAAGGATGAGTTTCTTGGTTCTGGTCTCCCTTCCTGACTTTTGTGTTGACCGGCCTTACTGTCTTTCAGGAAGGCAAAGATCAAGCACTATACTACGATGCACATGTTCTTGATGCACAAAGAAGACGACATGATGTAAGAGGTTGTCGTTGTAGGTTTTTGGTGCGTTATGATCATGATCAATCTGAGGTATGGCTCTTCCCCTTCCCATTTTTCCTTCACATTGTAGTTGTGGTCTTTGTGACTTGTAAACCATTTGTGGAGCTTGTCAACCTTACTAAGTAGTATTTGAAGTAAATTCTCTACCTGCAGTTTTCTTCTGTTTGTCGAGTCCTAGCTACTTAAACAACTACCACCCGTGTGTGCTACTCTTTGCTCTTGCTAGTTCAGTTTAAATGGGTCTTTAACCTTTTCCGAAATCAAGCTGCTCCATGATTAGTCTTATCTACCAGACTACCAACAAACACACTCAGTCTTGTGTCCCTGATTGTGAATCATTCATCTTCAGGTTCATTTTTCTCAAGGTGGCGATTCAAATCCTGGAAGTTCTGCATTGTATAGGTTTTGAATTATTCCTCCGTAAGGAGTTTAAACAAAATAGCTGGCTGGCTTATAATCTTTTCAAATTTGTGTGAGCTCCTGGTGTATATAATTAGGGTTTTCATTACTTGGGGATTACCTTCTGAATGTTTGATGCTGTATCAACCTTAGAAGAAATGATCATTACCTAGCTATTCATACTTGGAATTAACTTATAGAATCTCTGGATCTCAATTAGCCATCGAAGAAAGGAGTCCGAACTCCAGTTACTTGGCATAAACATTTGACTGTAAAGAGCACTAGGACCAGTAATTCTTTTCATTTCATTTGTCAACCCTAGCAATCACTATGCTACTTCTCATCGCGTGTTTTCCTCTTTTCATTCAGGAAATCGTGCCTCTCAGAAAAGTTTGCCGAAGACCTGAAACTGATTACCGATTGCAACAACTTCACGCAGCAACAGAATCATTAAGTCACGACCAGCAGAAAGCCGGTGGAGATCAATCTAGTACTAGTGGCATCCAAAAGACCTCTGCGACTACCACAGAAGCCATGCCAAAGCCTAATACTACCTTCACAGCTACCAAAATCGCAATGGAACCAAAACCCGTCGAAAGCAGCAGCAGCAACATCATGGTGAATGCTGTAAAACCCGGGCTGGTCCCTAACCCTATTGTTTCTGTACCGGCAACCGGCTTAACTGCTCAGAGCATTCCTCCTGGTGTCTCCAGTTAGGAGTTGCTTGCAAGAGTGGCATTGATGTATTTGGTCTAACATTTTCTCTTACCTCCTTCCGTTCTCATGCTCTCTCCCCTGCAACCTAATATAGAGAATGTGTTGTCGTATAGAGAATGCTAGTTTTTAGCTTTGTATTACATTTCTTGGAAACCCTTATAGATGGAGTGTTCTCCAAGTCTCCTCTCTCGACTCTCATTTTATTTTCATCGTTGCATCTCTTCTCCTTAAGATTGAAGACACTATTGTTAATGACACATTAAACGCGAGAATGCTCGAATGAATTGATGTGCGATAACTATCACAATAACTAGCGTCTAGTGATAAACATGTCATCGGATAAAAGGGGTCCAGATGCGAAATAGCGTGTGAATCATTCTTCAAACCTCGAATTTAGCAAACCTTAAGTATGTAGATAAGATTCAGCAAAAAAACCAATTGCCCTACGTTCTCAATAAGCTTTTATCAACTAACAAATCTTGCGTTTGTACTTTAACTATCTATCACCATGCAACCTCGAACTTAATTAAAACTAATTTTAGCTCTCTGTTTCTGAGAAAACAGGGGAAGAATACAAAAAACAGATAAACCCAAAAATTTGCCAAAAATATTATTACTAGAAATCGAAAATAGTTGAACCAGTCGCCGTTGGGTTCTAAACCCTGCAATTTGAAGGCAAAATCACCCGCCTTGAAATAGAAAAGCTGAAAAATGAACCTCAGAACAAGATCAAAACCACTTTCTTCCCAAATAATTTTCTGTATAAAACAGAGCAAATTTCCTCATCAAGTATACAAAGAGAGATATCTTTCCCCCTTAAAAATATCCCTCCGAGATCAACAACAACCAAACAATGGCAAAGACTGCTGCAGCCGCCGTCCTCCTCTCCGCCGCCGTCTTCCTCCTCGCCTCCGCCGCCGTCGTCGTCGATGCACAGGACAAGATGTTCGTCGAGGGCAAGGTCTACTGCGACCCGTGCCGCGTCGAGTTCCCGACGAAGATCAGCACCATGATCGCCGGCGCCAGGGTGAACCTGCAGTGCCGGTGCAGGGACAACAACACGATGACGTACATGGTGGAGGGCGACACCGACAAGACCGGGACGTACCGGTTGCCGGTGGAGGCCGACCACGAGGAGGACATCTGCGAGGTGATTGTTGGTGTGAATAGCTTTGAAAGTCGTAATAAAAAAGGATCGTATTAATAAATGAAAATCATTATCTTGCTGGAACGCGCACGCGTTTTAATTATGGGGAGTAATTATGTTTCTGTTTGATTAAATGTGTGACTTACACAGGTGAAGTTGTTGAGGAGCCCGTTGGACAACTGCAAGGATAAGTTCCATTTCATCGACCGGGCCAGGGTGCTGCTGACGGACAACATGGGGGTGGTGCAGGCCACGCGCTACGCGAACCCGATCGGGTACATGACGTCCACCACGGACCCGCGGTGCGAGAAGCTCATGGAGGAGATGGGGATCACGCTCCAGGAGGCTCAGACCAAGATTCCCGATAAGCTCTGATCATCGTGGTTGATCGTGGATTGATGGATTGGATATGGATTGTTACGTGCACGAGAATCGAGTATAGTTTGGGTTATTTGTTTAATATAGGCTGCATGCTGCTCTTTGCCCTTGGAAGTGCCCTTCAAAAAGAGAAAAAACATAAAAAAGGAGAATGTTTGATCAAGTATACCTGAAGTCCATCTAGAGGAGACATTACTACACCAATCAACGACAAAATGTGTGTATGCATATGTGTTCCCAATGTTGGCAATAATAAAAGATTTATTTGTCTCAAACTACCATGAATGATTTGTGTATTGTGTAATTGGGGATCGTGCCAAACCGGCAGTAGGCAGTTTATCGCAATAACTTGCGGGTTGTCCGAAGAGATTCAAAGATATATTTGTTTACCGTTGCATCATATGTATAAGCTCTTCTCAAATAAAACCCAATTCATGAATTTGGAATTTGCACATATATGCCTCTTTTATCCTTATGGATAATCAACGAATAATATTGAATTTTGTTCTATAACCACTGAAATTCAAAATCAAATCATATATACAATTTATTTTGTGTGAAATGTGAGAATTTGAATCATCGAATGAATCGCGTAAGGTTAGCTCAAGACAGTTAATTTTAGGGGTCGTTTGGAAGTTTTGATTGTTAGAGTTGTATTTGTTGAATACATGTATTGTGCACAATACAATGTTAGGAAGTGCCAAAGTGTAAAACAATGCATATATTGTTTTAGGTAGGTCCCACCAACAATCACAAAAAATGATGCATTATACAATCTCAACTAAAGTTGAGATTGTTATGATTGTTGGTTTTAGATTTGTGTCAACTTTTTCTTTCCATTTATATCTCCAATAGTTTTTGTCTTATTCTATTTTTTTTAGATAAGGGCGACATAGGTTAATTTTTTATTATTAGGTACTACTTAAGGGACTTGAACCTGAGACCTCCAGGTTCATGGCTAGTGGTATTACCACTAGACCAATCCCTTGTTCGTTTTTGTCTTATTCTAAAAATTGATGGTAAATGTGACATTTCTTCATAAAAGTATGTAAATCAATGCATAAAATAGAATCTCAACAACCAAACAATGTATTGTTAAAATGTATTCATTGTATCAATACATCATTTATATTATGATGATTCATTACAATGCAACGATTTAACATTCGCAACTTCCAAACGACCCCTAACTAGGAAGAAGTTGATTGTGGATCAAATTGTTATTTATTTATTTTTCGGAATTATAGTTGTCCTTTCTCTAAAATTGAGGTATGAAATTGAATACTCCATGTGAAACCTCGATTGCAAGAGCCAACAATCTGGAGCGAGTGGCCAATATCGATTCTCAAAGGGATTCCCTTTCCGCCCTTTGGCCGGACCATTTCCCTCGCGCTCCTTTTCTCCTTCTCCAAGTTCCGCAGTCACTGTATCAGTCACCTTCTTCACTCGTCGCCCTCAGCCGTCAACTGCCCTTCCTCCGGATATCGGAAATGTCTTTCTTTCATTTGTAAGTAAAATGGTGCTCTTTCTCTCTCAATTCGATTCCCCTGTTTCTTATTCATGAGTTTGCTTATGGGGTTCCTTTCATTTCCCCCAAAAGACCGAAACCTGCTTCGCTAGTGCCATCGGCAGTTACCTGGCTTTGTATCGTAATTGGCCTCTGTACTGAATTTCTAGAGCTCTCCTTCTTGCCTTGAACTTGGCACAGTGTTTGTAACCCTACCTTTTTGTCCAGCATCTTGGAGTTATATTATCCATTTCTTCAGTTGGGAGAAATTGAAAGAGAATGCATCAATGTAGCAGGAGTGTGAGTCTGTTTGTTAGCTACAATAACTTTATTGACGAAATGCCCTCTAATGTGGCTCCAATCTTTAGCCATTTGGATGGAAAAGATTCAGTCTTTTCTCAATTTTTTGGAAATTGCTCAGGAAGCTCAAATTATAGGGATGAAAATGGCACGATAATTTCGTATTCGGTTTGAATTTTCATCCAAAGTTAACGAATGTGTTAGCAGAGGACGACACCCAAAACGGGATTAGAAGAGGAAGTGGTTTGTTTGTATGGTGTGCCCGTGTTCATTACTCTCTGATAAAAGCTCTGCTTGTAGGACATGATGTAATAGGATGAGGAATAATAACCATGGTTTCCTCTTCTGGTCTACCAGGAAAACATCAGTACCTAATCTACCTTGTAGTCCTGCTCATGTGGCAGTGGAAGCTGTTTGTTCTCCTCTGGTCATGCCTTTGAATCATCGTACGGCTTACAAGACAAGCTTATGTGCCATGTGTTCCTCGCTCAGTTCCTCAAGACGACTCCAGAATTCTAGAGCCACAAACGTCGATTTCGATGTTCAGCAAACGTTGCAATTCGATCAGTATTTTCTCTCGAAACTTGGCCTCTATACAGCTGAGGAGCAGCTTCCTTATGATCGTGGTGGTTATAGCGACTTTGGTGAAGATAATGGCAGCCACAATGCCGAGGAAAGAGAAACAAAGATTGATCACGGGAATAAGGGAAAGGTTCCATGGAACAAAGGGCGAAAGCATTCAGCTGGTATGTCTTTCTCCATTTAGTGAATCCACCAGATTGTATGACTGATTAATTATTGGCTCGAAGTGAAATACCTCACCCGCTTTTGCATGTGAACTAATATTTTCAGTCTCTAACAAACTGCATTATACAGTTTGACATTTTTTATATGATGTAGAGACTCGGGAACTGATCAGGCGAAGAACAATAGAAGCCTTGCGAGACCCCCAGGTGAAGGCATGTAAGAATTATTTTTAGCTTTAAGATAGATCGATCATGCACAGCAGGCTCTATTATTAATTGCTGTTGTAGAGTTTGGATCATTATAGGTAGACAATTAGTTTGCTACAATGGCACATAAACATGTCTGCTTTATCTTGGTCTTTCCATTCATCTGTTTTTATGATTGTTTCTTTCCTGTGGTTTCAGGTTAAAAAGAAGATGGGAAAACAGCCACGAACTCATAGGTAATTAATAGCATGCTGTTACCCAGTTTTTGTATTCATAGTTCTGTTACTGTTCTACATACTACGAATTTGACATGATCTCTGTGATGTACTGTAAAGTAGTTGTCCTTGCCATCAAGCATATGGGCAATTGGGCATCACATGTTGAGTTCGCTGATTGATGGTTGCTATCAAATCGTTTCTAGTTTATAGTGAACTGGACTTTTGTCCTAGAATTTTCTAAATATGCTGTTGCCAATTGAGATCTGCAAACCTGTCGATGTGAAAACAAGTCTTGTGCTTTTATGTCGAACCATGTAGCGGTCTTCATGGATTTGGTCATCATGCATATAGTCATTAGTAGTTTATAACTTGTCTTAATTTCATTACTTTACGAATATTTGAACTTACTAAGATTGGGTTCTCTTGCATTTTGGATACCATAATTGCTGTTTTCCCAGTGTTGAAATCAAGGCTAAGATAGGCTCTTCACTTAGAAGACTCTGGAACAAGCGTTTGAAGTCGAAAAGGTTGGGAGTGAAATTTTTCCTTTCATGGGAGGAAAGCATAGCAAAAGCAGCCAAGGATGGAGGTCTTGATGAACAAAGGCTGAATTGGAATAGCTATAATGAAATAGAAGAAGAAATTACTCGCCAACAGCTTCAATTCGCCACAGAGAAGGCATTTGCAAAGGAGCTGGCAAAGATAAAATCAGCTACTCTGGCAAAAGAAAAGGAAGAAAAGATTGCTATTCTTGCTCAAAGGAAAAAGGAGAGGGAAGAGAAAGAGAAGGCCAGAGCTGCAATGAGGCGTAAGGCCCGTAGAAGAAGTGTGAAGAACAGAGGGAAGTCACCTGTTACCCAGGAGTTCATACTAAAGCAGAAATTGGTGAAGGTATGTTAAATGAAGATGAAACTCACCAGAAACTTTATACTTGTGTGCAGTTGCAAAAATAAGTGAATATTCATTGACAAGCAGTTCTTGAAGAAGTGCACAAGGCTGCATGTACAATTAGGTCCACTCAATTTGGAACTTTTTGTTCTTACCCTGACCTCAAGAAATGAGAATGGTATAGGAACTAGTTCATTCGGTTTCCGATCTTTCATCTGGGTGCTGTTGTCTCTTTTCTGTTTTCCAGATTCGAAGACAGAAACCAAAGAGTAGGAAAGCGATCAATGAAGCAGATCAGCAGATCTCCTGTACTCCAATCTGGGGGAAGCTAGATTTCGAGCTTACGGAACTAGATGAACTGAAAAGAGATTCACTTGCTGACCAGATCCAAGCTGCCAGAAACCAAAGAAGTGAAATCCGATGCTGATCAACATGGTAGTGAAATCCGATGCTGATCAACATGGTGCAGCAGCCGCCAGTGATTTAAGCTAACAATTTCATCAAAGCCACATCTCTTTCTGAATGCAGAGGACAAGGCGACAGCCAAATCCCAATCAAACTTGATGCCAACACCAGCTTACGCTTACCAGTTTTGGTAACTGGGATTGATTTAGAGCTGGACTTGCAGACTTGGATCAGAGTTTCTGATTGAATTGACAACAGCCTGATTGAGGATGATGCTTGGCAATTGTCATCGAGGTGTAAGCGATGCGGTTTGAAGAGTTGTAGCTACTTATACCTTGTAACAGTCAATAAAGTATCATTGTTATAGAGATGTAGTAAACAACTGTGTATTGGTTTTTTTCACCGAGTCTAACTAGCAGAGATGCCAAGCTGAATAGGTTTCTCAAACGTGAAGTTGCATAATTGCATACGATTGAAGATAGCTATAACCTAAAATAACCAACAGAGTAACCATACAATTGCATAATTTTATACCAGGATGCCAAATGCAACATGTATGAAGAACCACTCCCAGTTTAGCCCCACCAACAGAATGTGGGAGAAGAAGCTTCCAATTTGGAATGTAGAACAAAAGCCAGCAACAATATTTGTCTCCCTACACAACTGGGATTATTTGTTAGAGAGGTCCAGTTTTAATGGTTTCATAAACTCTTCCGAACTAACAGAGATCTCGAGCCAATGCTGTTGGCTGCTACAACGAATACAAAACTAGTGAAACACGGACACAAAATGTTGATTTGCGATCGATCCCATTTTACTTGTTTGCAAACTTGATTCCCTTCTCGATGGAGGAAAGCAGCTCCGGCTTCAGCTTTTCCAACCCTTCTTTCTCGAAGTCGGAGAGAGGTCCCAATCCGAGGACTTCATCGACACCGTTCTTGCCAAGTCTTACCTGCAAAGATACAGTATATTGACAAGATCAGTTCAATTACTAACTAGCAGTAAAATTATATGAATTAAATTCAGACACTAGCAAAAACTTTGTTTCGTCACCTTCGAAGCAAAGAAAGGAAGGTCAGTGACATTTGATTGAACAAACGTGCATTCAACCACATCAGGAACACCATTGAGACCCTTCAAGCATGCATCGGCAAAAAGGGCACCAGCATAGCTGCAAAACGGAAGATTGCAGATGGTTGATAACCCGTAGCATTCAAAATGATAGCTCAGTTGACAATAAGGCAACATATACATATATAACAGGATCAAAGAAATTGCAACCTTCACGCATCTTAGACAAACCAATTCATGGTTGGAGAAAGAAAAACTCAGAAAAGGACACTATGACAGGCCAACTTAAAGAACCCAATTGTCTAAATTATATATTTATTTGGTAGAACAATGATTTTTTTTTTGGAGAGTTCAAACAGGCAGAGGCATGTGCATTCATTCACAGTACAACTTACGCCATAGACAAAGTAGCGGAACCCTTTCCAGCCTTAGCTTCCACAACTTCTGTGCCACCATCTTGAGTTCTCTTAGTAAGAGCAACAATTTCCTCTTCTGATACATTGGCTTTTGGGGTGGCCTATGATGAAAACAGACAATACGGTCAACTCAGCAAGCAAGATACTCAGAAAGAAGTATAAATAATATGGGCAGCCTATACAAAGTATGGCAATAAGAAAAGACAGGGTAAAGTGGAGGGGGAAACATCTAAGTAAGCATACGAAAGGGAAAAGAAAAAAAAGAGCGGGGAGGCACAAGTACCTGGGAAAACAATGGGAGAATGGTAACACCGGCATGTCCACCAACAACTGGAACATTAACCCCTGAACAGAAGGTGCACAAACCTTTAAGTTAACTTGGTAAATGTATCACCACCGAGTGAGTTCATAAGATTCTACTAGGTCCATTCAGCAACAAGTATCAAAACAGGGTACCAGTGAAACCATTATCAAGAGAGAAAGCTTAACAATAAAATAGTTTATTATTCCAGTTCTATTTCCCTTCATGTCATCCTCCAAACAACAATTGTGATAAAGCATCCTACTTGGTTATTTCCGCATCCAATTTATTTCAGCAGCTAAACCTTGGAGGAGAATCTCAGAAAAGAAACACATCCACTATGTAAGGATCAGGAATAAAGACCTGCAACGGGGACTCTGGCCTTCCCAGCATAGAATGTCTTGGCCCTAACAACATCAAGAGTAGTAACCCCAAACAACCTTTTCTCATCATAAGTTCCAGCTTTCTTGAAAACCTCAGCAGCAATTGGAACAGTTGAGTTCACTGGGTTGCTGATCATATTTATGAGCGCCTAATTCCAAGCACCAGTCAGAATATGGATCATAAGACAGACAGAGCAAAGAATCACCAGGGAGTTAATCAAGATCAGCAATTCAATACTCACATGGGGGCAGTACTTGGCAATTGCTTCACAGAGACCTTTCACAATCCCAGCGTTAATGTTGAAGAGATCATCACGTGTCATTCCAGGCTTCCTTGGCACCCCAGCTGGAATGATCACAACATCGGCTCCCTCCAAGGCCTTACCTAGTTGGTCATCACCGAAGTATCCAGTAACCTAAACAATAGATAAACAAAATGGGTTAAGTTCACACCTTCAGGAGCTAGTAAGCCCACCATAAGTACATAACCAAAGCAAGAAACTGAAATGTATCTGGAAATGAGCATCACTAGGACCTAGTAGTCACACAAATGTAAATAAGTGACAGTGCAATGCCAAAGGTCGAGACTTTAGAAGGAAATTACACACCAAAGTTACGGAAAAGGGATCATCAAACAAAGAAAAAAAAGCCAACCCAACCCTAATCGACAGCTAAACTAAAACCCCATTGTTAAGCGAAAGAAGAAACCAGAAGATCAATATGAAATTCAACCGCGGAAACAGCGATCGATTACCTCAGATCTGGTGTTGATGTGGCTGACATCGGCGGCGACGCCGGGGGTATTGGCGATATCATAGAGGGCGAGGTTGGAGACGAGAGGGTTGAGCTTCATGAGCAGGGAGAGCGGCTGGCCGATCCCTCCAGCCGCGCCGAGGATGGCGACCTTGCGGTCCGGAACGGACTCCGACGAGTAGCCACGGCGGAGGATGGAAGATCGTGAGGCCGTGGTGGCTAGGGTTCTGGCGGATCTGAGCATCGAATTCATCTTCGAGAAGAAACGGCGATGGAGGAAATTTGGAGGGCGGAGAATTTGGGGAAATGAGAGAGCGAGCTGCTTGTTGAGTGAGTGATAAACTCGATGCAATGAGCGCCTCTTCTCTCAATGAGATATATAATATTTTGTTTTACTTTAAATATAAATATGACGATATAAATAAGAAAAAGGTCCTCGTTGCAAGATTTCTATAATACGCATACCAAAAATGCCAAAAACGTAAAATTAATTAACCGATTTGTTAGTGAATCAAACTTTAGTGACTACTTATGAAATTAATCCCTTCCTGGCAATAGACTTCGTGCCGCCAAAAAGGCTAAATTGCTGCTCGACCTACTGAAATAGGATTACCGGAAAAATGCTAGCCGGCGAACTGTCAGCTTCTGCCGTCCGTATACGGTGCCTCCGTTTACTCCTTCCTTCGCCGTTCCCTTCCTCCCGTCGCCGTGTTCTGCTCCGGTTCTGCCGGAGGTTTACAACAACCGGTTGCGCCGCCACCGCAGCGGCAAGGAAAGATAAGGTAATCGTGATTTCCGGCCCCACCGGCGCCGGGAAGAGCAGACTCGCCTTGGAACTCGCGAAGAAGCTTCAGGGAGAAATCATAAGTGCTGACTCCGTCCAGGTTAACCTTCTCGCCGTCGACACTCCTTTTCTTTCTTTCTTTGCCTGTCAAATCAATACGGTAGAGTTTGTGATTTGCTGTTGAACAAGGTTCATTTGAGCTGGATTCAATTCAATCGATGGCGGAATTCACTTAAGCGTCACGAATTCGGCTTTTGTGCTGGGTTTGAATATGGTTTTTACCCTTTCTCTCAATTGTTTGGTTGGCATTGCCAGTGACTGAAAGCACTAGTAGGTCTAATAGCTGCTTACATTTTAGCTGCTGAAACTTGGCCAGAAATAGGGGGGATTTTATAGGAATTAATATTGGTTTATGTATGGATAGCTAGTATTCTGAGTTCTAAGAACGCAGAAGAATCGGGGAGAAGAGAGAATGCAAAGGATCATTCATGTATTATTATGCTATAAAAGGCAGAGGACTTATGTTTTGGATTCTCTTTCTGCTTAGGGGAGTTTCTTATCAAGAGTGTTGAAAAGTAATGAGCTTGGTCGCTTGTTTCTGCAGGTATATCGCGGTCTGGATGTTGGATCAGCGAAACCTTCTAAGAGTGAAAGACAGGTGCTTTCTCCTTGCAGTCAAATGCTTTACTCGGCCTGTCCATTTAATTCAGAGTTTGCTTTTAATTTTTTTTCCTGAGCATGAATATAATACGTTGTCAACTAAGTATACAGCATTGACTCAATAATGGTAGATACGCAGAATATAATTCAAACAGGTCAGTTTGCTCAAGTAAAGGGAAAAAGTGGCAGAGTCAATTCTGAGCAGTTGGTTCAGTGGTGTTTGCCGTTAGTAGCCATATTCATTTGAATGGTTGCATTTTTGTTCTTTGGAATGGGTATATTGGATGATGGTGAAGAATCAATTATCTATATATGAAGACCCCCAAATAACCTGACTCCAGTAGATCCTAATAGTGATCGGCTAGAATGACAACATTACTAGTTTGTTTCTTAATCTAATGACCTTCTAGCGCTGGTTATCCGTTGAGTGCTCCCTCCCTTGCAAGACATCGAATGGAATTGAATAGCTCCGTATATAAATGTTTGATCCTGGGCAGTTGTGCTCAGTCAGCTGATGAGTATTATATATAAGACTCTAGGTATGTACAACAATAAGCAAGTGAATAACATGTCCCAACAGTATATTGCAGCCTTCTGCTGTTGTAAGAACAGAGATGCCTCAGTCTCATTGCTCTCGTTAGTAAGTCTTACTTGATTGTTGCATTGATTTTACTACTTTTCTCCACGCAGGAAGTGCCACACCATCTGGTTGATATACTAAACCCATCCGATGGTAGGTCTAAGCAGCATTCGTCTGTTGCCAATAAACCATGATTAGTATGGTATTATGGATACTGTCTTGGATAGCTTTTAACTTTATCTTTGTCATGTTTACAATGATGCCATTTTCTTAAAAATCTTGCCAGATTATTCGGTTGGAAAATTCTTTAGAGATGCACGACAGGTCACACAAGACATTCTCAACCGTGGCCGCGTTCCTATAGTTGTTGGTGGGACCGGACTGTACTTGCGATGGTATTTGTATTTGTAAATTTTTTCTTTTACTTCAGATTTTCAAGGAGTTCTTGACTGTATGACCTTGAATCCAATGCTTTCAAACCAAGATTTCATGCTATGCGGACATATTTTGAAATGCTGATACACACTGATATTCAGTAAGATTCCTTTGACCGAACTGTTAGGTATGTATATGGGAAACCTGATGTTCCACAAGCTTCGATAGAAGTTGCCTCTCAAGTTTACTCTGAACTTGCTGAACTCGAGAGAAGTGATGATTGGGATGCTGCAGTGCAGTTAGTGGTCAAAGCAGGTGATCCAAAGGCACAAGATTTAGCCACCAATGATTGGTACAGGTTGCGACGCAGTCTAGAGATAATCAAGGTTTTAATTTGTAACCTGGCCTTCTGAGTCTTTTCCTGGGTCCTTGGCATTGTTCCTTCAATCCCCCATAGTGTTCATAGCCTGCTTCTGAGAATGGGATTAGGGGTTTGCGTTTCCTTTGA